TGGCTGTGTGCAAGTGGGTCGATATGACACACGGGGGTGGGGGCAGCCCCCGCTCAACCTACATCCACGTGGGCGGCCTTGTACGCAAGAGGTTCTGAACACGGGGAGTTATAAGGAAGAAGATAAAAAATGAATTTATTTCTTCTCTTTTTCGCATTTGCGCTCTGATAAATTTGTGACGATATATCTATATATGTACATATATATATCGTCAAACAGAGCTGCCCGGTAAACCGTAGAGGCAGAGAGGGACAAGAGGGAGAAGAGGACAACAATCGTTCAATGTACCGACTCACTCTCTCGCACATGCCACTCTCTGCCATGTCGTGTCGTGTGCGAGTGCCACTCTCCACTCTCTCCCAAATGACACTCACCAAAAACTTAATTGTTTCTCTTTCTATGAGATGAGTGTCAGGTACTTGATGATTGGAAAAGACATGAGAACAAAAATCGTCCGTCACACTTCCGCCACTTCTTTTTTTTTTTTTTTTTCCCCTCTTTCTATCCCTAAAGCGGTCACTCCAGTGACCATGACGCAGAAATTGTTCAGTACATTTTTCTGCACAAAATGGCTTTTTTCTTCTTCATTTTTTGGATTTTTTGGATTTTTTTCAGTTTACAGGGGCCTTGCCTGGCCCTTGTCCGGCCGGGCCGCCCGGGAAACCAAGAGGGGGGGGGGAGGAAAGAAGAAGAAGATAAGATTTTTAAAAAATGGTATTTTTACGATTTAGGACTCTAAGAGATTGACTCTCTCTCTCTCTCTCTCTCTCTCTCTCTCTCTCTCTCTTGTCAGACTGTGAATCGGAGCGCGAAGGCGGAAAAAAGCAAAAGAAGGAAAGGAAAAGAAGGAAGGAAGGAAAGCCCCACCTGTTCATCACCTCTTACGTACAAGGTCAGCCACGTGGATGACAGGTTGAGCGCTGGCTGCCCCCATCCCCGTGTGTCACAAGGACCCCCCACTTGCACGCACGCAGTCAAAAGGCAAAAAAGAGGTAAAGAAGTAAGGAGGAGGAGGAAACCAAACCTGACAGGGAAACAAAGCAAATGACACATCCCACAGATATATATATTGTCACATTGTGAATCAGAGCGCAAAAAAGGGGAAAGAAAAAAGGAAAAGGAAAAAAGGGAAAGGGAAGTAGGTAAGGAAAGCTCCACCTGTTCATAACCTCTTCGGGGCGACGGGCGGGACGTCTCCGCGGGGGAGAGGAGATTCCCCCATGGTAGTATTGGGAAGCACAGCGATCATCTTTCTTTCCTATTTTGGAAACATGCGGGAACCGTCACACATCTGCCATCTTTCTTCTTCTTTTGGAAGCGCTCATCTTTCTTTCTTATTTTGGAAACATGCGGGACCCATCACAAATCTCTCATCTTTCTTCTTTTGGTAAAATTAGGCATCCATTGGAAACGACGACGACGCCTATATAGTTAAAAAAAACCGTTGTCATAGAGTCAGAAAAGATTTGCTTCTCGTTGTTACAGATTTGCGTCGACAGATTTTTTTTCCATTACTTCTCCGCATGTACAGTTCAAGTTAGTTCTATGCCGGCATTACTTCTCTCAACAATTGCACCGTTTTTCACCATCTACC